CACCCCCCACCCCCCGAGACCTAAGCACAAGGTCGGTAATAAAGTCTTATTGCAAGACCCACTAAGATCGATTATAAGAGGTCACAAGCAAACTAGCCTAATTGTTTTTTTTCTGGTTAAGTGGAAGTCGTGAAATGAAAAGTAGAAATAGAAAAGTCCAACTAAAATTCATATTATAAGTGAAGAAATGCCAACGAGGGATTAGATTTGAGTTCATTCAACTAAAATAATGAGTCCAAAGTAGAGTAGAGCAATGGGAAAAAAAAACAAATAACGTATTTAATTCTATAAATAATTCTGCATCGTCCTACTAAGAGGTAATCTAATTAGATTTTTCCTTTTTTGAGGTCAGTTAGAGCTAAATATCAAATAAGGAGTCGCTTCGTTCTAACCGTAGTTAGAGAATAATGAAAACCATGAAATTGATAATGGTGAAGGGAGAGAGAGAGAGAATTTAAATAAATGAAAACAAACTACCACAATTGTCTAAGATAGAAATATAAGTGTATTCAACAAATGGGTGCTCACATTAGAAGGTTTGAAGTTGCAGAAGCGAAAAGATGAAGGAGATGAGAGGAATGTGGTTCAAGTTGCCATCCAGCCCTTGGTAGGGTAAGTAGCACCGCCCAATCCTTGACGGAGCCAGCACAATTGATGAGGCGCCACATTCGGGGCAAAAAGTCACCCAATGTCAAACCTAAAGAGTGACAATATAAACTGGCATCAATGAGTCGGGTGCAGAAATACAACTAGCAAACCAATAATAATTAGTACTCTCAGAGGGGATTAGTAGAAATAGAAGAAACATTTAGACGTTCCGAGGGGATGTACAAAGGGGTGGAGTATACTTCTAATAGCGGTAGTGCAGCAAAGAGTTGAATTGTGCTAAGTAATTCAAGCCGAAAGTGGAATTCGGCATGCAAGATATCAGCAATTCTGTCGCCCACAAATTACAATCTGTGCACAGAAATATTTTTCAGACTAGACAACTCTATCTAACCATAGCAGTCCTCTCAACTATGAAATAGGCAGCTGTCCGCCTATTTTCACTTTCAGCGACTGCTCACAGACCCCAAATTGGCTAATCATTGGGTCTCCACAGTTATTTGAAGTGGAGTGGGGGCGTGAAGTCAGAAAGTAAATGTGAGTGATATTAGTGAAATAAAAATTAAATTTGTAGAACTTGAATAAAACAGACCCGTTCGAGAGGTGGACACATTTTATTCAACACTAACCCTTGCAGTTATTATTTTGTTTAGAGAAAATATCAACGAAATATTTTATATTCGTTCAAGATTATAAGTTTCAATTTGGAAGGAAACTTTTAAAATAAGCAAATAGGATTCAACAATATTTACGATGGGACTTATAAGAGCAAGATTAAAATGTCGACTCAAAACCTAAATTATATACCTAGAAGTTTACTACAGACTAGAAATCCACAAGAGAAAAACTAACCTACTTCGAAAATTGGTCATTTTCAAAAGGAGACATATCATTTAAATGGAAGGGAACCTTCAACAAGAACAAATAAATTCCGCTTGAAATTGTAACCATACACAGAGTAATGCTCAAACCAAGTTTTATCGAAGATTTTCTGCTCTATATTAAATATAAGTGACATATTTAAGGGCCATCTCATGTTGAAGCTGACTGAGATTTGCTTATAGGGGCACCCAATTCCGTTCAACTTCTAATAAGTTCACAAAAGTGAAGGAGAATAAACCAGCTTTTAAGGGTGTGTAAACACTATTGAGACGTCCAAATAATCTGCCCATCGCAAGAGCTTTGAAAGGCCTCCGGCACACCCGTGATTGTCTTATTTCTCTCGGTATTTACATTTAGATAAGGGGTGTGTGATAGACTAACCTCCACGTGGTGCACCCTGGCCAATGTATACTCATACGGCGAAAAAGTCTATTAATCGACAGTTGACTTCTCACTTCAAATTACCATCATCCAATTGTATGTCATATTCCACCACTTCCAGTGTTCGCCTTACCTTTATTCTACCTTTGTGTCTGTCTCTTTTACATCTTTGAAACACTCTTCTGCTCCCCCCCCCCTCTCAACTTTTTTTCACTTTGATGTTTCTTCTCCTCTCTATGAAGCTTGATGTCAACTAAAGGGCTAATGATAACTTTCAAAACGCCTGCCATTTGATATAAATAAACATTTACACGATTATACAGCATTACATTGCGAACCTATTCTCTAACAAACTCCTACTCTACTGGGGTTTCCCAAAAATTCGCCAGAGCGGTTAAACGTTAAATTCCATTTCATGAAACTATTTGTGGAAGTAAACAACTTTCGGAAAACCCCGGTACTAAGGTCGCGCACACTCCCAACTTGACCTTGAAGAGAGTGGTTGGGGCAGAGTTCGCACAAGAATGATTTTATGGGAAAGTCACATGTTGAGAAAAACGAAATAAAAAAAAACGATTGGAGCTGATTTTAAAGTGATAGAGTTTGCCTCACCCCCCCCCCCCCCCCCCCACCTCTCCCCCGTAATCAAATATGATTAAAAAAGCCAATGAAAAAAAAACTACAAAACAAGTAAGACTGGTCCATTATACTGATATCATGGGTACTTTTAAAATAAAAAATTTAATCTAAATACACGATGATGCCAATGGTGAATATATATATATATATATATATATATATATATGTGTGTGTGTGTGTGTGTTTGTGTGTGTGTGTAGTTGAATGCTTAAATGAATGGAATAACAGACCCGCTAGAATGTCATTGCGAATTTCCTTCAATGATCCAATAGTAAAGCAGTAGAGCATGCACACCGCCTTGATACTGTTGGGCAATTGCTCCAGTTTCACTGAACCATTATCCCGAGGCCAATGATGGGCGTACTTAGTCTTCTCATCTCTTTTAGAAGGTGTCCGCCCTTTGAGTTGCCTCAGGAAAGCCGATAGGCCGAATCGATCAGAGAAACCTCGACCATTGTGTCTAGAGACAAAACTGGGTGGATTGACGGGTAAAAGACCTTCCACAGCACGTCTCTCACTATCAGTTTGCTCAGTGAGTCGGAAGCGGGGAGTTTTTGATTGGGATGTGGAAGGAGTGAGAGAATTTGGATCGCTGCTGTCCAGACCCTCCTGTTGGTACAGATCGGCAAAAAGAAGACGAACCATTCTGCCGTGCCATAGGAGACGCAGCTGATTGCGAACGTGGGGTTCAGATGTTTGAAGACTACCCAAGAATAAATTAATTCAGCAACATTAGTATCGTTAAAATTTTCGATATATAAGAAACAGGGGGTAGGTGGAAATTCTTATAAATAATGCTCAGAAGAGAAAAGCAATTTTAAAATTAATTTGATCATGAGAAATGCTTCCATTGCTCCTTTTCCAGAGCAGTATTAATCAGCTTGCTTGATCATCTCAAATAACCGATGAATTTCAATAGGTTCGGGCCTATGATATTTACCCTCGGTATACATAACCGACAACCTTATTGCAAAATGGTAATGGAAAGGGGACTCACAAGTTATCAAGAGGTTTTGAGAACCATCCAAGAATTGGATGCCAGCAAGTGAGATTGGACTTTTTCTGACCGACATAACCACCCAGCACATCGAGGAGTTTCGAGAGAACAATCTAAAAGTAGGCATCGAAGTGAAATGCAATAGGATGCAAATAATGAAAAAAGTGCATTAACCCAGATTAGACAATCGGCTTACACAAAATTTTTCACAAAGATCGACAAGAACTTCAACCTCAAGTAAGCTAAGTTGAATCAAATTAGCTGCAATGGAAACAAACCGAATAGATTAAATGAAAAACAAAGGTAGCAAATGGGTGCAAGAACTCATGTTTAACCAATTAGACATAGAATGTAGGATCCATCAAAGCTGCTTAAAAGCGACGGATCTGGCAGCTTTTCATAGAGGAAGGTGATAACCCGAGAACACAACCTTTCTTGAACAATAACATCATAAGTCTGCAAACAAAAAGGCCACAAAACGGCGTAGGCGTAATGAAAGAAGCTCAAAATTTCATAAATACTTAATTGAAGCTTACTTCATTGGCAAGAGAATTTATGTGAAGAACAAAACCGGGTACAGAGAGAATGTGAATGACAAAGAGCGAGATGCTCTCGGAGGAGAAATCATTTAAAATCATCGGCCTATAAAGAGAAAATATTTTGCCAGGATAGTTGTTGAAAGCAGTAAAGGAATGAATGGAATAAGTAAACTAAAAAGGAGTAATGCAAAAGTCCAAGAATTCGACTTTGATACATCAGAAAAGGTTACGTGTGGTAAGTTAGACTCATCAACGCACTGGCTAGATGATAAACAATTACACCAGAAATATCAGGCACCATGAAATACTTTGCTGTAATCTAGTTGAATAGCGAAGTAGCCAAAATACACATATGGCAACACAGAGATCACGACTGCAAAGCTTAGCAAGCTGTTTATAGGCGAGACTGTACGATACGAATTCCCATAGGAGTTACTTATTAAGCAAATAAAAACTTACCTCAAGGAAATATCTGATAATTAAATGCAAATACAAGTTTATTCTTATGAGCAATTGTATAAGTGGACTTATAAAAAATTAAAGCGGAAAAAAATTCTGGACTGACAGGACGCTAACAAAACAAAGTTCAGAGTTGCAGGGGTGCTGCCTGTCTTAGGATTACTGATTTTCATCTGAGGATTATAAATCATCCACACCACATCATTCTTGGTCACGTAACAGTTAGTTGGGTACTAGTTATTATAGGTCATGAAATCTTTTGATCACAAAGAAAACTATACTAACATGGAGTCAATTAGCAAATTTAAATCTAGTGGGTAGAGAGAACAAACCTGTAAAAAATCAAATCTGATAGGACAACAACAAAAAAGAAACCTTGCCTTACAAAATAAACGTATAAAGAAAAGATTTATACTTTTCCCATTACCGAAAGTAAATATAACAAGCCAAGTTAGAAAGTTTACAATGACCAATTTCAAAAATAGAGTACTGATAAAAAAATAATTTAAGCGAAATTGAAACAGAAAAAGACTTACCGTAAGACCAGGGAGAATATTGCAGTTAAAGAGAGCTGAGTGAGCACCGGAATATGCAAGGCCAATCCTTTCAGTAGAAGTTGCTAAAAACATCAATTAATTTTACGGAAGATGACAATACAAACCTTAAGAGCAGGATAGAGGCCTTGGGAAACAATATATCGAGTTAAAGAATCAGTGATTGTCTTTAATCCCGGTTTCAGCTTTTCATCTAAAAAAGATGAATTAGACTAGTCGGACAAACCCTTTAAAATTTTCCATTTATTACAATTGGTCATTGTAAGAACAAAAGAAAGTAGGAGATTTAACATAGTGGAGTCAGATTCATTAGCCGGCTAAATATTTCATAAAACGTAGAGCAAAATTACGTTAAGAACGGCAAAGTATTTCACGCAAATTGATAACATCCATCGAGTTTGTGCAATCCATGGAATAATATAATCTTTCTGTTGCAGAAGTGAAAGATACGACCACTAAATCTGTTATAGAAATATCTCGTAATACCTCATCATCCTTATTCGTAGAAATTAGTATGTATCGACAAATACCTTCAAAAATATCTCTGTCACCATCTAATCTAAATCCGTATTTCATCTTATTGATGATTTTCGGAAGTACAGAGGCTAAATAATGAGTGCGTACAACGAAACACACCTGAATGTAATGATTGACTTTCGCAACCGTCAGTTCGAGTAGATTTCATAAAAGAAATGCAATCATTCCTAAATTGGTCTTTCAACTTCTTTCTTGATATATAACCCCGCCAATATTTCTAAGAGCGTAACGGACCAGTATAATATAATTACCTGTATTCGAAGCGTAGCATTTTGTCTATCTCTATCAGTCTTACGTTGCTCTCTTTCCCTCTTTTGTTTCTCAACAAAAGCTTTTACGTCGGGTTTGACTTCTTTAAACATATGTAGTCATAAATAGATAAATTGAAAAAATGCGCAATAAACTAATAGAAGGGGTTTTGAAAGGATACAAGGCGTCGAGCACATTAAAACAATGTACTAAATTCAATAAGAATTTTAAAAATATTTTGACTTTTATATAATTCAAAATTAAAAACCAAGTGAATAAATGCCTTAAATGGAAATTGTCAAGAGCACCCACTTGGAAGTCATGCAACTATATTCTCTAGTAGAAATTAAAGTCAATCCCTCTTTTATTTAAATATTAATGATTGAAAAAAATTAAATGAATTTTAAAGATGCATGACTGATAAATCCAAGATAATTTGCACCCCTAATCGTTTTTACTCACAGCCTGAACAGGAGGTGGATTCGTCCATCTCTTTCTCGTTTCGCTATGTCCAGTCGCCATCGTATTGATGTTGGTGCAAGCCAAAGGAGATCAAAGTAGGCTTATAGCATATTTTTGTTATTCTTTAGATTTTCTGATCGTGAGGTCTCAAATAACGGCGATCGGGACCGGTCTCCTATCAAGAATGTGAATAATTCTGTACAAGTTAATCCTTACACTGGTTCGTCAATCCATCTTACAATAAACGTCCATATATAATTATCTGTGATTTAATGCATATTTGCTTATCTTGTTTCTTTAAATTTGCTTTTCTCTCCGTATCATAGGTTTGCCATACAGTCAGCGATACTTTGACATTTTCCGTAAAAGGATTCAACTGCCAGTGTGGGAATACAAGGAAAGATTCTTCAAAGTTCTTACCGAAAACCAAGTTACTGTTTTAGTTGGCGAGACTGGATCTGGCAAAACAACCCAGATTCCACAATGGTGTCTCGAGTGGGTTAAATCTCGCTACACAGTAAAAAAGTGTGTAGCCTGTACTCAACCTCGTCGTGTTGCCGCTATGTCGGTTGCTCAACGTGTCTCTGAAGAGATGGATTGCCAACTCGGTCACCAAGTTGGTTACAGCATTCGTTTTGAGGACTGTACATCTCAGAATACTGTCTTGAAGTATGCTTTTTCCTCTTAGTTTGCTTATATTTGTTATTTGATCATCAAATAATTGGTGCATTTGTTTTCAGGTACATGACAGACGGTATGTTGCTTCGTGAAGGAATGAGTGATCCCCTTTTGGAAAACTATGGTGTTATTCTATTGGATGAGGCCCATGAACGTACTCTGGCCACTGACATTCTAATGGGTCTGTTAAAGGAAATCATTGGTCAACGATCAGATCTAAAAATCGTTGTAATGAGTGCCACTTTGGATGCTGGCAAATTTCAGGATTACTTCGATGAAGCGCCTCTGTTGACAGTGCCTGGAAGGACCCATCCTGTGGAAATATTCTACACTCCAGAACCTGAAAGAGATTATCTCGAGGCCGCTATCAGAACTGTCATTCAAATCCATGTTTGTGAGGAGAGTGAGGGAGATATTCTCCTCTTCTTGACAGGTCAAGAAGAAATTGAGGAGGCTTGTAAAAGGATTCAGCGAGAAGTTGAATCTCTAGGGCCTGAAGTTGGTGAATTGAGATGCATTCCTCTATACTCCACCCTCCCGCCTAATCTCCAGCAGCATATATTTGACCCCCCACCTCCACGACGTAAAAACGGAGCTGTTGGAAGAAAAGTAGTCGTCTCGACAAATATCGCTGAGACATCACTAACTATTGACGGTGTTGTGTTCGTCATTGATCCCGGTTTCGCTAAACAAAAAGTCTATAATCCTAGAATTCGTGTCGAGTCCTTGCTTGTCACCGCAATTAGTAAGGCGTCTGCTCAACAACGGGCTGGTCGTGCAGGTCGTACACGACCGGGAAAATGTTTCCGTCTCTATACTGAAAGGGCCTACCAACAGGAGATGCAAGACAACACGTATCCTGAAATTCTTCGCTCAAATTTAGGAACGGTTGTGTTGCAGCTGAAAAAACTCGGCATTGATGATTTGGTTCACTTCGATTTCATGGATCCGCCTGGTAAGCATCCGGTTTTTGTCTTTTTTTATACGAGTCAGTTCCACTTACTTTTAGCTTAAGTCAAATTGTGTTCTGTTAATCAGACATGTATCTTTATCATAATGCTTCTCTAAACTATTTTCAGCTTTCACTATTAATATTTTGCTAAACTTCGCTGAAGTTCTGTTTGACGAACTTGTAGCGTAAAGCTTACATGCCAAAAGGGTCTTGAGGCGTGTCTTAGATATTCATGGGTACTCGATGATTTGACAGAATAATTAGTACAGGTATAACTGGATTTTCAAATCTGAAAGTGAGCCACTTTTTTCTACCCTTGATAAATTGCGGTCAGTGTTTTTCTTCAACTGACCAAGATATTACACAATTTTTACCATAGAAAAGTTGATGGTTGCTGGCCTGCTTATTTTACTGATTTTTCCTCTATTGGTGCTCCCTACATTAAACATACTCCATGAATCTAAATAGGTGATTTTTCAATATAGTGTCCCATTGAAACTGCTGATTGAGACTGGCATTGTAATTGGGTTTTAATTAACGGATATTTAAATTTGTTCTCAGCGCCGGAGACTCTCATGCGAGCCTTGGAGCTGCTGAACTATTTGGCAGCTTTGGACGACGATGGCAATTTGACAGATCTTGGAAGTATGATGGCTGAATTCCCCCTCGACCCTCAACTTGCCAAAATGGTCATCGCTTCTTGTGACTACAACTGTTCGAATGAAGTCTTGAGTATCACTGCTATGTTGTCTGGTACGTGTGTTTACAATTTATTTTAAATCGTTTGCTGCCGAAATTGATGTAGAAAAAGGTGGAAAAGCTATGAGGGTTCAGATTGTCATAACTCGATAATTTCCGTCATTAATGCTGCTTTTGGTAATGTCTTGTGACTCTATTATTTGTAAAATTATATGTCAAAATCTCAATTGCTAATTTCACAAATAGGTGTCAGAGGTTGTTATTTATATTGCAAGTATAATTTGACTAACGAGAACTTTCGGCTTTCTAATGATTCCCATAAATACGTTAAGGAAATTGCTGATTTGCAAATAATAAAATTATTATCAGAGACGTCCACTGTCTCGAGGTCATAGTAATTACTGAATGGCATGTGGTGGTGGTTTAGGTGCCCTATTTCTACCTGAGATGGGCATTCAAAATTTAATTTCAATAGGCTTCAATGATTAGCTATTTGGCTGCATTTTGAATTTTCCCTGCTTGAAAAAAAATGAATATTTGATCAAAGTATTTTAAGTACTCGCGAAACTTGCTAAATTGCATGGTCGTTGTTTTTGTAGAACTTGGGGTAAATTGCTAAAATTCGCTTAATTTCGTGTTATTATTGAATTCTGGATGTTTTGAGAAGTTAATACGTTGTTAATATTTCTTCAATACATTCTCTCATTTTTAGTGCCTCAATGTTTTGTAAGACCTCCCGATGCTAAAAAGGCTGCAGATGAGGCCAAAAATCGATTCGCTCACGTTGATGGAGACCACTTAACTCTGCTAAATGTCTATCACGCTTTCAAACAGAGTATGATAAAATTTATATAGTTGTTTACATCCTTTTCAATATGTCGCTTTATTATTTAAATGCGTGCCTTATTCTAGACCAGGAAGATCCACAATGGTGTTATGATAACTTTATCAATCTTCGTTCACTTAAGTCTGCTGACAACGTTCGTGTCCAGCTGTCCCGCATAATGGATAGATTCTCTCTTCGACGTTCAAGTACTGAGTTCTCCTCTCGAGACTATTACTTGAATATCCGCAAAGCTCTAGTCTCCGGATTCTTTATGCAGGTCGCTCATTTGGAAAGAACTGGTCACTATTTAACCGTCAAGGACAATCAGGTTGTCCAGCTTCATCCTTCTACCGTGCTAACTCACAAGCCCGAGTGGGTTCTCTACAATGAATTTGTCCTTACAACCAAGAATTATATCAGAACTGTTACTGAAGTCAAACCAGATTGGTATGTTTGGAGACACTTGGTCTTTGGGTTGTGTTCGTTGTCCGTCCTTTATTTACGTTATTTTCTGTTCCCTTCTAGGCTTGTTCGCATAGCACCTCAGTACTACGATATGTCCAACTTCCCTGAATGTGAAGCAAAGAGGATTCTGGAGAAGTGTGCTCATAGAATGGCACAGAAGCAACAGAAGAAACAACAGGAACAAGATGCTGCACAAGAAGGGGTGCAACAATCGGGTTCTCAACAGCAGTAGTGTGTTCTCCCTCCTCCATTTGAAACTTGTATTTGTCAGCCGTTTCAACTGTAAACTCAACCCAATAACTCACGCCCAAGTTATATTGGTTTTTGGTATTATATCCGATGATATCGTGTGAATTTTAATAATAAAATATTTTGGGCTAACTAAGTTCTCTTCTCTGCGTACATCTGTAAATAAAGCCTTTGCGTTAGGGTATTTTCCATCTTTTACTCTCGTATAGGAAAAACCAATCCCTCTTGCTTAAAAAGATTGAGCTTAGGTTAAATGGAATTCCTGTCCTTATAACTTAGACTGAGGTAACCGAGACCAACTCAAGCTTATCTTGATACGCGTCAGAGAAGGCGGTATGTGGCTTAATTCCATGCAAGTGATTTCCTCCGACCTATCAAGTGTGTCTTGTTTGTCCATCTGATCACACATTTCATTAATTACAACTTTTTGTCCAGTCAACCGCGATATAATTGACAGTATGTGCAACTCATTTACACTCAAGTCATCTTATTCCAAAGTGAAGTTATCATATGGTCGAACACTAAGGATCTGGCATGTCTATCTTATCTTTATTGCTTAGGCCCCACCTCTTGGAGTAATTCCGGCTTTTCTAGGTAGGAATTGTTAGTTCTGAAGCACATCCCCCCATTAAAGTCTCATTCAATAGGAATGGTTTGGCTTCACGTGTGATTATAATAAGCCCAACAAATTGGCAGCCAAAAATTTGTATTCATTGAACTTCTTTGGAATTGCCTATACAATTCTACCAAATAGAAGTAAAGAGAAAATCCTTAGCCAACCTTTAGGTCCAGAGCATTTATTCTTAGATTTGGGTCAGGATTCAGGGCCTTTAATAAGCTGCTCAATATATCTGAATCAATAGATTTGATTATCGGACTAAGAAATGCATATTGGTATTAGCACACTAGCATACCTCTTATCTATATCATGCGACCGCGTTTTAATGTCCTCCATTATAGAGTATTTATTTAGTCCGTCAAAAAGTAACTGCTACTATCAAAATATAAGTAGAATATTACCTTGCCGGTGAGCATGTAGACTAGGCTTATGCCGAGGGCCCAGACATCAGCTTTCTAGAGAAGCATAATTATAAAGTTTTGACCTTGCCTTTCCAGAATATGGTTCCCCGGTGCATTTTACACATTCTGGAGAGAGAAAAGAAGGGGTCCCAATAGTTCCCCTTACTTGATCGTTATCTTTGGTCGCAAGGACTAAGCTCGATTCAAAATCTATTAACTAAAAAGGAGGATGATGAATTTAAGAAAACGAACCTTGATTATATTACCATTATCAATCATCATATTTGCTGGCTTAATATCACGATGAATAATTCCATTAGAGTGAACTGGGTTAAGAAAGCGTATAAGTATAATATTATTAAACTTACTGTAAATTAATGCATCAAGTATGCCATTAAAGTATAGCAAGCTATCGGATTTTAATATGAATTTGCGTCTATAAATAAGATCCTGAAGAGATCTACTGAATTAGAGGCTAGTAAAACTGTTTTACTCGGCAAAGAATGGAAAGACTAAGATGTTAATTATTTATCAGACTTTTACTTATTTCGCATGGCTCCCCTTGGCTTGTATAGCGAATGCCAATTAGTTGCACAATATTTTCGTGGTTTAGCTGTCTCAGAATCTGATACTCGTTTCGGAGAGCTTCTATAGAAAACTTTAACTCCAAAATACCACAACGTTACCTGAGCTTCGGAACGATTTTATAAACTGAAAATGCGATGACCTTTCATTCCTTATCTTTAGCCAAAATGTTTGCAAATAATACAGAAAAAATTGTGTGAAAACTGCAAGATTTTCTTATTGTATGGAGCAGTGGGTGGGTGTTTTACAACTTACTACGGCTCTACTTCCGTCATACTCCCTGTCACTATAATTACGTTGTTCCCCTTCCTAAAAAATGTCCATTGATAAAAAAAAGCAATAATTTTCTATTTATTTACTACTTAATATCTGAATAAATAAATATCTAAGCCTACATTTTGTGTCGGCTCCTCGGTTAGTGGAATATAGTAGATAATTTTTGTGACAAAAGGACCTTGCTTAGCATAACCGGGAGGGACCAACTTCATTAGCAGTCGAAATTTCCAAAAAAAATGAATTGAATTTTTGTACATACTGACTGATGTATATTGTATTGATCGAGTTTTTAAATGCCCCGCTGTAATGCTTGTATCCTCTGGTAGAACGAATTCTAGTTAAATAGTTGTTTATTAACAAACTAAGACACTACCTCATCTGGATTTAAGATCAAATTCATTTTTAAATATTTATTTCGTCCAATTTTACCTTTTTAACAAGTTTTATAATCATTTATATTTCAATTGAAATTTAAAAATGCAAACAATCATAAATAGTATTTATTTGAAATAATAAATAATTTTGAAGTGTATAAAGCTGTTGTGATTATAAACCATTATTTAAATATACTGAAAAATAATAAATGCTTGTCAAATTAAATATCGATACCCACCGATAGGTATCAATTCTTTCCACGTTCAGCTGCGATGCCAACTTTTGTTGAATAAGGGAAGTGGTAGTAAGTGGGCCCTTCATCGGAGTGGATCCAGAATACCTACTCTTCATGTAGATTAAATGTCTTCCATATTTCCTTATGGGAACGTATCGGACTAGTGATCCACGTGCCCCCTATGTAACCTACAGGGTGAAATGAAGAAGACCCAACTAATTCGGTGTCCAGCCCTAAAGACAACGACGGAAAGCCAGAGATATGAAGCAATAAGCAAGAAGACTGCTAATGAACTGCTATTAATTAACTGCTTTAAATGTACCCCCCCCCTCTTGGGGGAAGCTGAAGTCAACATATGTACCCCCCACCCTTGGGGGAAGCTGAAGTCAAAGCTACGCTGCTATTAATTAACTGCTATAAATGTCCCCACCCTTCCTTGGGGGAAGCTGAAGTCAAAGTTAAATTGCGAATGATACCCCTCTGGGGGAAGCTGAAGTCAAAGTTTAAGGGGTAATGATAAATATCATAAATTCTGCCATTTGAAATAATAATACGCTCCAAAAGACAGTACTGTTGAAGAAAATAATCTTGGAGGAGACCTCAACAGAACACCCTTTTTATTTGTAATCCCATCTTTACATTGATGTCTCCATGATTTTAAGTTTCCTTCATGGAACATGGCCGCCCAACGTGTAGACCGAATGACCGTTTAACTTGGCTAATGTGTCCCTTCGGATACATCTCAAGGTGATTGGGATAGATGCAAAGCATCATTCATTATGCCTGTGAAAGTCTTTTAAATACCTATGGTACTTCGTCTTTTTGTATCCCACCCCCCTTCTAAACATAAGTTTCATTGGTTACCCTCAAAATATCTCCCTTCCACTTATGAAACCTGCATTCAGACTACAGACTCCAACAAGCAAAACTTCCCACCAATGTATAACTAGTAGGAGATTTTGACTTTAGTTTTACCCGATCTGATCGAAACTAACGTTAAAAAGGCACGTGCTCTCTGGCTACTCCGGAGAAGAGAATGGATTAACCGAGTGTTGCACCCGCAGACAGCGAGATAAGCTCTCTTCCTTCCTAAAAATAGACTTTAAAAGATATTTTCGGTAGGCGTTTGAGGTTAGGACTTTGCTTTAAAGGCCTCAATTTTTGCCACCAGTTGAGTCTCGTAGGTACTCCTTGACATATGCGTCATTTGAACAACATTTGAATGAAAGCTTGTAAAGAAACAATTTTTTGGTATCTTCGGCTTTCGATCGAAATGGAGAATGGAGGCTAAAGCTTGTCAATCTACATTGGCTATTCTAGGACAAAGGCCCCTTCATTGAATAATGAGCCAAGGCCACATTTCTTCACTTGGGACCTCATTTATCCTGATCACTCTGTAGTATGCTTACTAATGTGAAATGAAGTGGTCAATAGGGAATAAAAAAAGTGGGCATCCTGAATGTGGTGAGTGCTGTCAAAGGAGTCAGAGTTTATCTAGTTATATAAAACTTGCAGGCTTTTTGAAAGTTATCATTAGCCATTTAGCTGACTTCGGGCTTCACAGAAGGGAGGTGGGACATCAGAGTGAGGAAAAGTCGAGAGGGAGAAAAGAAGAGTGATCCACATATGTAAAAGAGACAGAAAGGCACAAAGGCAGAGAAAAGGTAAGATGAGTACTGTGGAAAGGGACGAATATGACATAGAGTGGGGTGATGGTAGTTTGAAGTCAACTGCCGGATTATAGACTTTTTTGTCGAATGAGAATACGTTACCCAGGGTGCACCACAAGTAGTCAGAGTAAAACAAGTAATTAACGGTAGGTTAGACGTAAGTGAAGCGCACGAAAATGAATAGCAAAGGCAACCAGCGACTTAATTAGTGAATTCTAACAGGATAAAAAAGGACGTAAATGTAGAAGAAGCAAAGTTAGGACTTGAGGCAAAAAGCGAGCCACTATGGATAGCCGATATGGTTATGTAGGTAGCATGATCTAATTAAGTAGGCATTGTAGAATATCCTCCATATATATGGAAATATGGGGTGATAGGGCTTGATGCTAACTTATAAGAGCTTGGATGTTAGAGAGATGAATCTAGAAGCGAAGGTAGGGAGAATTGACCATCCTACACCATTGACCACTTCCCTCTCTTCCAACATGGGTAGTATGGCTGACTGTATTTGTAGATCGAATATTTTATTGGTTCACATGAGTTGTTGGCTATCTTTCATCATGGCTGACGAGGTTTCTAACGGTATCTTCCTAAGTAGTAATACACTCGGTTGCTTACGATTTCCACTTTATTTTGAATAAAGGAAGAATCAAGGGCAGTGTGTCAAATGTGCGCGGGTTGTATGTGTTCACTGTGTATTCAACTTGATGGTGAAATAATTGCCTACTCGAAAATCAAACCAAGCCTTTCATTGTCGGGATCTTGTGAAAGAGTGGCATGGAGGGACAAGGTAGTGGCAGTCAGCTGGTTTGTCTCGAAAACTTCGGGGACAACGAGTCAGGCCAAAGAAAGCTGGAATGATCTGGGAGATTGATGGAAGCGGTGTTTGCTGTGGGCGTGATTATATACAGTTAAAGGCGTCTGTGTTGGTACTCAGCGGAGTGTGTACACGTTTTTTATATAGGATACAAGAAGCATTTTCAGATGAAAGACGCAGTTGGGGGAACAAGGGAATTGGGAGTCGTGCATAGCGTTTGCCAAAAGAAAAGTTCTTAGCAAATCTAGGTCATCTTTGTCCAATCTCAATTGACAGTTGTTAGAGTTAGGGTCGAGCTCTACTCCAGGCATTAAGATAATCTGCAAGTTCATATATCGAAGTTTTAATCAAAGAAATTAATTGATTTGATAATAGATTATTATTCGATATAATTGCCAAGATAAAAAGGAGGAAGAAAATTCGCTAGGGTTAAGTGTTTTCTTGCCGTTTTGCAATGAATAATGAAACAACACTAGCCCTAATTGCTTCAACCATTCCAACCCGACGCCTTTATATGAGTACTTACTATGACCACCCCACCCCGCTCAACATTCTACCACCCCCATTAAGATCGGAAAACAGAAAATCATCAAAAATTCAAGAAGGTTTCTCAAATCACTATCATTCCAGACGCCTTGAACTTCAAAATTCGCATAAGAAAGGACTGAATAAAACGGCAGTTATAACAACGTGTATTTGATATCTATACAAATAAATAAGGAGCAAATGACACAGCATAAAGTCAATATCACATGAAAGGTAGGATTTGAGGTTGGAATGGAAATTAGGAAAGTAAAATCTTGCATTTATGCCGATTGACAAGTTCTAAGAAAAATATTTCCTCTTCATCTCCTGATCCTTCAAATAGGCATCAAACAATGACCTAGCTCGGTTCAGAATACTCCAAATATTATGCCGCTTATTGTAAGTCTGGAAGAGATGAAACAGATCACAAACGTCATGTACCTCCTCATAAATAACATCACTGTACTCGAGTATCATTGAGAGACATATAAATAGAAGGAAAGGGTTATTTCCACGTCCAATAGCATCTGGCGAAGGCAATTCCACCACCCAGTCCTTCATATGCACCGGATCTCCTTCATAACCAGATGCACTAAAATCTCGACTCTTCCTCTGGGTGGAGAAATGCAAGGGCTCATTAGATTGAATTGGCGGCTGTTTATACTGAAACTGTTCACCAATAAGACTGTTTATCAAGTTCGAATCACAGCAGGAATAATGGGTATCTTTCTCCTCGAAAACCGCAGGACAGCGTTCAATGCCCAGTTGAGTATATAAGGCAGTGGAACCGACTTCCGGCCAAGTTTGAGCAACCATTGCAATAGAAGCCCATTGAACTTCAGCAATGTGGAGGGCTTGCTCGAAGGGAAATTCTCGAATCAGTTCAAGTAGAAGCCAACGTTCTGTAAAGAACATATTGCCCAGATTGTGCATTCGCAGAAATTGTGACATTTTGTAGTCCGTGAAGACAAGGAGGTCGTGGAGGTTTTGCATTTGAGTAATCATCATGACCTGATCATGTTGGGGGTAGAATTTAGGAATTAGACGTTTCATGAGGGCACAGAGGCAAAGGTATGCCATGCCTTCATTCCCCTGGGCATATAGTAAGAGGCTGGCGATGTTTGACATACCCTGATGATAGCCAATCGCTGGATGGTAGATGGCGTAGGTAGCAAGGATGTCAAAGAGTTGGGCGACACGATTGTTCTTGACATCATTGTGGTAGAAGGGATGAGCTAGATAAAGGAAAACAAACCAAAAGACTAATCTCATTTAGTACTGTCAGAAAATTGAATTTCCACAAGAATAAAGAGCTGATTGTTGAAAATTAAGAATCGAACTTATCAACTATTGCGAAGGACACCTAAATACTTTAGGGTTTAAAAGAGGAAGCTTTTGAAGGAGTACCGCATCTCAATAGAAACCAGTAGAGAATCAATAACTCTTGCTAAGCTACTAACCCGTCCTAGCTACATGATTTCCCGTGGAAAAAAAGATAGATACGGAGATATAAAATGCAGTTCAATACCTAGATAACGAAGGCGACATCTGTTGTGCAACTCGAGATGTGAAATTGTATGTGGGAGAAAAAAACGCAGCTCTTTGAATTGGGGCAAATGACAAGGAAGATAAAGAATTGGGAAGCAATGCTACCACAGCCTTCATCAAAGTACTTCAAGGTAAGTTAAGTTAAGTTGTGGTGTGATTGACTGATTGATTAGACAAAGCTCCATATTTAATGAATGATAATTATTTAAGATTACTCGTAGAAATTTGAGTAGGAAGTTGTAGGAAAGTGGCTCGCATCATTAAACTAGCGTGCAAGTGACAAACAATGGTCAGATGTGCAATAGCTAATTAGCTGATTTGCACTCTTGCAGACAACGAGCACTAGGCAAAACATAGGTTGAAAACAAATACTTTTGACGGAAGTTGAACAGAGATGATCAACCAATTGGTTGTATTCACAATTTCACCATTTCCAAAAAGGAGAGGTAGGAGAAAGCAGAATGAAAAAAAAAGAAGAAGAGCGCTTTCATAGCAAGGACTAAAGAAAAGTAACGGTGAAACTCAATTTCAATAGAGAGATAGTAAGCTATTTGATATAATTTTGCCGTACTATAAAATAAATAAAACTTAACTATACACATTCAATCTATGGGAATTGTTTCTCAAAGATACGTCCGTCAAATTCTCTCAAGAAAAGTTAAACATAACGCTATAAAATAAACAGAAAAGCTATTATTCGCAGAAGAATGACTTCTTGAGATGGGAAACATTCAAATATCTCAAATATGCGAATATGACTAATATAAGATCATTAAAAAATGCCAATACTCAAACGATATAAAAGCACTCACGGACATGCGCCCAAATGTGCATAATAAGAAATAACCTTAAAACGCAAACATCTTCCCATCACAGTGGGTTTCAAAGTGACTAAGTGTGAGGAATGAGCACGGGATATCTAGAAATACGGATTCACTGTCATTTTTCCAAATTATTCCCCGTTGGTCGTAGAGGCATTGGCTTGCAATACAATCTAGAATTATTACCGAAAATTGTAAGCAAGAAATTCGGATAGAAAAACTCACACCGATCAGTACGAACAACGTCTACGCAGGCCAGAGTGATTGCTTCAATTTGCGCTTTGGTCAATAGACCCTGTTGATAGGCTTTTTTCCAAACCTCTTTGAGTTTGTCATACTTCTCAACTTTGTTGTGGAGTAGAGCGAGGCGTTCCTTACCATTGAACTCAGGTGGATAGACACCGAGGAGAATTCGCCAGCCGACCTGTCGTACACTGGGCTCCATACCTCGAAGATACACCTCTTGACTAAAGAGGTGAACATAAAGGTAAAGAATACAGTTAATAGATCAATTTGTGGAGACATTGTGGAATGCAATCAAAACTTTCTGCTGATAACTAAGATATCTCAATTTGAAGAATCAAGCAAATGTACTAGGGTGGATAAATCTCCATTCAACAGTCGCTTAATCACCAGTCTTGGTGTATTAATAGCCAAAAGTTGGAAAAAGTTCGGATACTCATAATTTGTAGAAGGGAATTTTGGACTGTGTCTTTGGGGGCTCCTTTAACACTGAATGGTAATAGATAGACGACAAGGATTGAGATCAGGTTAGCCAATACTTGGAGGAAGGAATTCATCACCAATGGGATCTCATATCCAAGTTGATCGCGGGGGTCTAATTATCGATAATATTTATTTATTTATATCAAATGGCAGGCGTTTTG